CACGGACCTCAGTCCTGCGGGGTGCCGCCCGGCTCACCACAGCCATCCCCCTTCACTGTGCACACAGGTGCACACAGACTCACCTGAGTCTACCCTGAGCCAAGCCAGAGACCCTTAATGGGAGGATGGAGGGGCTCCTGGCTCGGAGGGGCCATGAGCATCCCTGCGGCCCTGGACCAGGTGCGAGTCGTGACGGGTGGGGCCTACACCCTGCTGTGGCTCACACTGAGCCCAGGCCTTCCGGGTTCGTCCCCTGTGGGCTGGGCAGCACTGCTGGCGTTTGGGTCACCCGTGCTGGGCCACACCGGGAGGAGGGGCTCGGCTGTGGCTCTGAGACGGAACCCAGAGAGAGAGAGCCTAGAGCCGGGCAGGAGGGACACCCAGGGTCTGGCCGGGGCCTGCCCGCTGCTCACTCTGAGCCCAGGCCAGGCGGGCCTCGGTGTTCAGCAGGCGCTCACCACACTACGCCTACCTGGCTCTGGCCAGGCACAGACACCTCCTCAGGCACCAGACCCCCCACCAGCCACAGATTTCAGCCCCCTCGCTGCTCAGGAAGGACGGGCGCAGGAGCGGGATGGGCAGAGGGCGAGCAGCAGGCCCTCCGGGGCGCTGCCATGCCCCCGGCCTCCCGGCTCCTCGTCCGTCAGCACGGACTGCACACACACGTCCTCACGCGGCCAGGCCGCCACGCCCACGGGCACCACCAGGTCCTCCTACGGCTGGCCCCCCACGCAGAGCCATCCAGACTCTGGCTGAAGGTGCAAGAGCAGAGAGGAAGGACAGAGTACGTCCCCATGCCTCCTCCGAACCCCGACCACAGAGGGAGTGGGAACCAGGCCCGTGCTCCCCAGCCTCGCACCCAGGCAGTATCTGGACCATCGCCACAGGGCCCTCCCCGGCTCCCTGCTGTGAAAATAATGGGCTGGAGGCAGACCGAGGCGAGAGCGGCACCAGACCTTTCCTGCCACACCGCGGACACTGTGGGCCAGCCACCCTCCAGCGGCCCCCAGGCCCAGACAGAAGAGCCTTCCTCCCAGTGCTGGGCCTGCGAGTCGGGGTGCCCCGGGATGGGACACAGCAGGCGTGCTCCCAGAGGCTGGGTGGGGGCACTCCTGCCCAGGGCCCACACCCACAGCAAGGAGCCAAAGAGGAGCCCAGGTGTCAGCAGGGAGCTCACAGCCAGCAGCCTGCAGCCACCTACAAGGGGGGGGCAGCATGGCCCACTGAAGGCCTCCGGGGCACCCCTGCAGCGGGCACAAAGGCCCACGAGGGAACCCCCTCAGCCAAAGCTGTCCCCAGGCAGCCACCAGCAAGGCCCCTGTGTTCCTGGCCTGGGCCTGGGCCCAAAGAGCAAGAACCCCCTCTCCTGTGAGTTTCCCATTCGAGGTGGTGTGGGGAGGGCTAACGAAACCCTCTGGTGGGGCCACCCCTCCTTCACGCTGGAGGAGGAAAAGGCCTTGAAGGGGGAGCTTTACAAATTCCCTGAAGACAACACCCAGAACTCCTCTCCCGGAGGCAGGGCCAGCCTCCCGAGCCCGGGGTTGGCCTAAGAGGAGACGCAGCTCTGCCGCCCCCTGCTGGACAGCCTCCACGCCTGCACCTGCTCCCAAGCGAAAGCCAAGGTCACAGCAACTGCAGCCACAGACCCAGGAGATGAAGAGGAGAGGCACACACTGCTCTGCTCCAGGGTCCCTGCAGCAAGGTCCCTCCCACTACAGCCTGGGGCTGCCCCAGTGCACTCACCAGCACCTCCCCCCTACCCTCTCCCACCACAGCCCTGTCAGCCCCCAGCACCTCCGGGCAGCCTCCCCGCCCTCCAGCGTGCTCTGTGGTGGTGCTGCCGTTCTTCCCTCCCAGCCTTCCGCTCCCACACCCCTAACCAGGCCCGTCCTCCTCCAGGCCTGCCCCGGCCTGCCTGCCTCTGTGTGCTTGAGTCCTGGGGCCAGCACTGCCCAGGCCGCAGGACGGAGTCCTGGCCCGAGTACGGGTGCCCGTGTGACAACGGACTGTGCTGTTTTCCTGCGACTCTGAGGCACAGAGGGCGACGCAGCCAGAAACAGGACAGGCTCAGGGTGTCCCGGGCAAGGAAGGACACAGGAGCCGGCCACTCACCCCGGACCTGCCCTGGGCCTGCAAAGATGGACACAGAGGAGCTTCGAAGCCACTTCACACCCAGACCCACAAGCCCACAGGCTCTGGCCCCCAGGGCAGAGCCGGGTTCTGCCGGGGGTGGGGAGCTGCCTGCAGCAGGAACTGGGGTGGCCTCTGCCTCTACACCACATCCTCCTGCCCCCACACGGTGCCCCAGGAGCCCACAGGCCACCACAGAGAGTCCAGTGGGTCCCCCACAAGGGAGCTCAGCACCCCTGCCTGGAATGGAAAGTGGGCCCAAGGAGGGACAGACTCGGCTCCCAGGCCAGCAGGGTTCCCAAGGCTCTAAGCACAAACAGGAAAGAGGCCACCAGCCAAGCGCCCAGGGTCAAACAGGCCCCCGTGCGCAAGCACAAGTCCACAGGAGGGGGGGGCCACGTGTGCGTGTCGGGGTAGGGGCCCAGGCGTGCACATGCTGGGGACATACAGCCGGCACTTGTCCACGCCAGGGGATGGACCCCAGGCAGGCTTGGCCTCCTCCGGAACACACCCGTCGCACAGCGTGGCCCCCGGCTGGAGGCAGGCTAGCAGTTCTATTTGTGGCTCAGCCCAGCGTGAGGACTGTGGGAGAGACACGTCCGCGCTAAGCCAGGCCGACAGACGCCCTCGGCCTCGTGGCCCAGCAGGTGACCGAGCAGCAGCTGAGTCCTCAGATGCCACCTTCTCCAGGGCCTGCACCTACCCCAGGCCACCAGCCCCTGCTCGCACCCAGGGAAACACATAGCCCATCGTCTCCCCGTGGGACCCAGGACTGCTGAGCAGAGACGCGGGAGCGCAGGGTCCCATGTCTGCGGGCAGGTCAGCTGACGCACCAAGGTGCCACCGCTGCAGGCACTCCCACAGAGGCAGCCACGGGACTGCAGGGGCTGCTAGGACCCAATCGGGAAACGGCATGGACCTGGCCGTGCAGAGCCAGGAGCTGGGAGGACCAGTCTGGGGTCCAGGATCTTCAAGAGGAGACCAGAAAAGACGGGAGGGGCTCCTGAGCTCCTGTGGCCCCAAGCAGGAGCCGCCAGGCTAGTGGTCAGTACCTTCGGGGGGGGCGGGGCACCAGAGGGCACAGGAGAGTGAAGAAAACCGGGCTCAGCAGGGCTGGGTGGGGTCCTGGCTGCGGATACCGCAAGGTGGGAGCTCAGCCTCAGCCGCTTCCCCAACCGTGTGCAGGAAAGGCGGGGAGGAGAGGAGACAGGTGGGGGGAGGAGACAGATGGGGGGAGACAGGTGTGGGGGGGAGACAGGTTGGGGGAGTAGACAGGTGTGGGGGGGAGACAGGTGTGGGGGGAGGAGACAGGTGTGGGGGGAAGAGATGGGGGGAGATGTAGGGGGAGAGGTGGGGGGAGGGACTGGACGGTGCGTGGGAACCCAGCCGGCAGTGCCAGAGGGAGCATGCGGCCATTCCCAGGTGGGGCCCGTGACTCTGAACCCAGCAAAGAGGAGTTCAGCCCCTACGCTGTCACCCCTGCCACCCCGCACCATCCATGAAGGGGACAAGGTGCGCCAGCCCCCCCGGGCCAGCATGGCTGGCAGAGCCAGCCGACCGAGGCAGGCCACGGGGCACACCTGCCCGGCAGATGCCACGCTAAGCAGACGTTCCAGAGTCCAGCAGCCAACGACATGGATCAGCAGGGTCCAGGGCAGGTCTCCACCTGCACAAACGCCCTGTCCCCTGCACTCCCCCCAGACTGTCAGAGACGCCAGCACGCACAGGGCTTCTCCCACTCTCTGCCCGGGGTCTTCGCCCGGAGCCGGCCCCTCACAGAGACCCTGCCACGGAAGGCCAGAGGCCAGCGCAGGACTCGGGGCCCCAGCGCCCACGGATGGCCTGGCTGACCTCACCCCTGCAGTGCCCCCTCTCAGGGGCATGGGAATCTGGGTGCCCTACACCTCAGTGGATGCGGCTCCCACTGAGATGTCTGCCAGCTGCCACAGGAACAAAAGCCACACACTCGAGGCTGCTCCCACTGCAACCCCAGCGGGGACAACGTCTAAGGGCCACAGCAAGTGGCAAGAGCCCAGGGCTCATCATCAGACAACAGGTCAGGCTGGGCTCGGTCAACCCAGGCTGAGCCCCTGCGACCTTGGGCTGTAGGCTTCCAGCTGTGCAGCCACAAACACGACACTCACCATGGGGACAAACAAGAAGGTGAGAGCGCGAGCCAAGCACCCTGTCTCCCGCCTGACCACTCCCCCGCCCCCACTCCACAGAGCGCTCGGCCTGTGCAGGGAGAAACAGGTGTCCCAAGAGGCAGGCGGCACGCTGGCCCAGACCAATTGGACCAACCAGGCAGAGCCCATCCCAAAGGGCAGAAGACCAACAGCCTCACAACCACAGGGGGAGGTGGCACGGGGTGGCGGAGAGGCCACAAGTGGCACGCAGGGGGAGACACGTCAGCTCTGGGGGAGGAACTGCAATTTAAGAAACTCCTGAGGACGGGGCAGGGGGCTGGCTCAGTCCGTCAGGCATGAATTCGGCTCAAATCAGGATCTCACAATGGTGAGTTTGAGCCCCGAGTAGGGCTCTGTGCTGACAGTGGAGCCTGCTTGAGATTCTCTCTCCCTCTCTCTCTGTCCCTCCCCTGCTCGCTTGCTCTCGCTTGCTCTCTCTCAAATAAACAAACTTTGAAAAGAAAAAACGATTTTATAAGTGAAGCACTGTTTGCTACAAAATAATCCAGTGTGTGTTGAAATAGGGCGATGGGTACATGAGTTCTTTTTACCGTTCTTTCTACTTGAGTACTTTACATTTTTCCATTAATAAAAAGCCTTCTTAAAGTGTACAGGTTAACCTGAAGTTTGCCCCGGCCCACACATGAGCGCTACAGACAGCCGGCCCAGGGCGCACACTCCTACCTCTCCTGACGGACGCAACGCTCCTCGTGTCTGGGTCCAGCTTCTGCACCAAGGCGCTGGGGTCTATTGTGGTTCCGGCAAAAACATCAGCGTTCACGAAAGCCCATTCCTAAGAAGGAAAGGAGAAGATGTCAGACTTCTCCGTGGCTCCAGAATGCAGACACAAGGCTGGACACAAAGCAGGGAGAGCCCTCGGGGCCTCCGGGTGAGCGAGGCTGGGCCAGCCCCTGCTCGGAGGGCCTGGGGGAGGCAACCTTCAACCCCCCGGGGCTGAGCCCAGCCGGTGGGAGCCCAGCCCCTGGGGCTCTCCGCAGCACTTCTTCCCACCTGCCTCCAACCACCAAGAGGGCTCTGCTCCCGGCGTGGGGAAGTCTTAGACCAGACTCGGGGCTGGCAGTGACTGTGAAGTACGAGCTCCCCATTCAGGAGCACTGTGACAGGAGCCGGGTTCCTTCTGAACCTGCACCATCTCACTCTTCCCTTCCCCGTTTCACAGCCACAGCTCCGCCTCAACCGTCTCTCCCCAGGTCAGTTTCCGGCCCACGTTCTCCCCGCGGGGAGACTTCCGAGCCCTCCCAGTCACGCTCTGCTGAGCCCACCCCAGGCCCACCCGGCTCGTTCCAGGTCCCAGCTCCAGGGCAGGGACCCCAGAGCGACCGACCGGAGCACTGACCCCCAGGGAGTCACAGACGAGACAGGAGCGGGGGGGGGGGGGGGGGGGGGGGGGGGGGGGGGGGGGGGGGGGAGGTAGCCCAGGGCGCGGGGCTGGCAGCCCCGAGCTCCCACAGGCGGCCCAGCAGGGCCCTTCCGCCACGGAGGAGCCACGGGCGAGGAGCGCAGGGTGCAGGCCCGGCCACCCACGCGGGTGCGCGCACACCCATCCGCGCTCCTTCCGCACGGTCGGGCCCAGTCCACGGTGGCGCCGCACCTCTCACCGCTTCAGGGCTTGGGAACGGACCGGGACAGGTACCGACGCCGCGGTGTCCAAACGTCTTTGGAGGGTCACAAGGTCGCTACGTGACTGGACGCCAGGGCCCGCCCGCTCCCCGTCCGCGCTCTTCTTTTCTACAAGGGCCAAAGGGCCACCTGCTGCCTGTCCGTCTCGCCCGCCCAGTGTCCCCAAGGTTTCCTTCCGCCACTCCTCCTACTTCTACACCTGAAACAGGCTCCACCTGATGAGTCCACTTTCTGCCCTCACAGCATCTCATTCCGATGCCGACCCGCACTCACGGTGGGCGGTTCCTTCCACCTTTGGCTGGAGCCCTGAGTTCGGGAGGGTTCTGCCCACCATGGGAATCCCAGCTGGCACAGGAAACCTCCGGCAGGTGGGCAGGGAGAGGGGTGCGGCAGACTGTCTCCCAGCAACCATTTAACTGAAGAAAATTAAAGACCTCATCAAGAACAGAAAGAATCTACTGGGGTGCCTGGGGGGCTCAGTCAGTTAGGCACCCCACTCTTGGTTTCAGCTCAGGTCATGAACTCAGGGTCGTGGGATCGAGCCCCATGTTGGGCTCCGTGTTGAGTGTGCAGCCTGCTTGGGATTCTCTCTCTCCCTCTCTCTGCCCCTCCTCCCCCCAAATCCCCCATCCTGCTCGCTCTCTCTCAAAGTAAATAAACAAACATTACAAGGAAAAAAACAAACGACAGAACAGAATCTACGGCTTAGGAGCTAAGCCCTGCTCTCTGCCCCCACCTTACAGGGAAACTCCCTGGGAGCTCTACTCCGGTTCCCCAGCTCCCAGCTGCTGACCACCCCCACCTTGTGTCACAGGCTCTCTGGTCCAAGAAGGTGAGCCGGGCGGTGGGGTCCCTTCTCCCGCCCCCGCCCCCACTGCTGGACCGAAGCACCACCTGAGGCCGGGAAGGCTGAGATAGCAATTCTCACCCCCCACCCCAGCTTCTATGGGCCGTAACAAGCCGAGAAGACGACGAGGGGCCACCCCCCGCGCCCACTTGTAGAGGGGGTGTCAACAGGGAGAAGCTGAGGCTGTCCCTGCCCCCGTCCTCATGTGGGCACAGAAGTCCTGCATGGAACGTGGGGACTCGAGCCTCAGGTGCTGTTGAAAACAGGGCATCCAGGCAGACAGTGGGGGTGCTTGTGGCTCAGTAACACCAGCAGCAACAAGGTAAGAGCTGAGAGAGTGGAAGCTTCACAGAGACCACATCGGAAAGAGAGCCAAGCGCCCTGTAGGTAATGGTCAACCCTGGAGGTCTCGGCTGCCCCCGAGGGCAATCGGAGCTGGACGGGGCACACGAGAAAGCGCTCCCCGAACCAAACATAACATGGGGCAGAAGGGCGACGGCACAGGGGCCTAAGCACAGCCTCTGAGCAAACACTGGCTCAACAGTAAGCTGGTGTGGCCCAGGGCAACTCCCGGCAGCGGCAGCTCTGTGAAGGTCAAGGCTGTGCGGGGCCAGGAATGGCAGAGGGAATCTCCAAGCTGCTAGTCCCTGGATGAAAGTGGATCAAAATGTAAAACGCCCTGAAACTGTGACAACAGGCTCTGAGCCACACACACATATCCAGTGTGAAAAGCAAAAACCTAATGGGACAAGGGGGCTCAAGCACAATCTTTGACCAAAAAGTGGCTCAGACCTACCCAGGCGGTCGGCCTGAAGGATAAAAACAAAAGAACATGAGCAGGGAGATGAGAGGCTGCATGCAGACTTCACATAGTTCAGAGCCAGGCCAACGAACAAGCACAGTGACCAGGCAGACACCCCCGCACCCCCACCAAATTGCCACAATACATCACCGTGAAGATTAATAAAGGGAGTCCAGGCGCCAGCAGGGGGAGCTGCAGCCCCACTACTCAAGGTCAACTACAGGTCCAAAGGGAAGAGACAGACTTGACCTTAGACCTTGCAGGTGGATAGACTTTCCAATCCCTTACCCCACCCCACCCCCACCACAGCTCAGCCAACAAGAAGTTGAAGGAAAAAGAGAAAAGAACAGAGCCCTACAAAAGAACATAAGAAAAAACAGGTTTTAGAGAAAAATGAACAGAAACAGCCTCACAGACAGCCCTTCAGGAAATGAACTCAGAGCACCAGACAAGTGCCTGCGGGTGAGCCTAGGAAGTACCAGACAGACAGACAGACAGAGGCAGGAAAAGTATTCAGAGAAATAATCACTGATAGGATGAGAAGCTCCACGCGGAGTAAGTAGGAGAGCTACACGGAGACACAGCAGAGCCCCGTTTACTGGCAAAGAAAAAGAACACCCTGGAAGCAGTTCGATGCATGGCTGACCTCACGTACGGGGAGCCCCAAACGACACACAGCTGGCCCCCCACATATGGGGAACCCCGGAACCAAGCATGGCTGACCTCACATATGGGGAGCCCCAGAACCATGCACAGCTGACCTCACGTACGGGGGACCCTGGAACGGTGCACAGCTGACCTCACACACGATGGAGACCAGCAGGCAAAGGGACTACATTTCAGTGTGGAAAGACTAAAGCAGCCAAGAATCTTATACCCAGCAAAACTATCTTTCAAAAAAATGAACATAAAATAAAGAGAATCCCTCAGAAACCAAAGCAGAGATAACCTGCTGCTAGCCAACCTGCCTTCTAAAAATACTAAGGAAGTGTTTTTAAGCCGAAAGAGAACGTTACTAAACAATAATCCAAAACAAAACAAGAAGCCTGTTAAAAGTAAACACAAAGCTAATTACAAAAGATAAGTGTAAGAATCTAAGGTTGGGCTGTAACACCAACAGACACAGCCTGCAGAAGAGTTAACAGCAAGACCAGGGGAGGGGCTCACGTAGCGTGAAGGTTCTACCTTCCTCTGAAACCAAGAGGGAAACACTGACCTGCATCATAAGCCCCACGTCAACTGCTAAAGGACATGAATTGACAACGATTCTCTTCACGACCAAACCCTGCTTAATCTCCCCCAGGGCCCATGCGATCTGGTCTGCGGTGCCCCTTGAGCCCCTCAGCTGACTTTTCACAATACCAAAAGCACAAGCAACCAAATAAAGTAACATAAACTGGACCTCATAAAAAATGAAAACTTGTGCTTCCAAGAATAATATCAAAAAAGAAAAAAGACAACAAAAAACTCACAGAACTGGGAAAAAATATATGCAAACCACATATATCTGGTAACGGTTTAGTATCCAGAATATATAAACAACTCTTACAACTCAACAACAACAAAACGCACAATTTCAAAATGGGCAAAGGACTTGAGGAGACATTCTCCAAAAAAGATCTATAAATAGCCAACAAGCCCATGAAAAGATAATTAACATTATTAGCCTTCAGGGAAATGCAAATCAAAACCACCAACTCCCTCCTCGCGTCCACTAGAATGGCCATAATCAAAAACATAGCCAGTAACAAGCTGGTAAGGACGCAGACACTGGAACCCTCACGTATTAGCGCAGGGAACGTGAATCTGTGCAGCCGCTGTGGAAAGCACAGAGTCCACACAACCCAGCAGCCGCGCTCCCAGTGTCCACAGGGGTATCATTCACAGTGGCCCAAGGCAGAAACCACCTTCCCATCAGGGCGTGAACGGATGAAGAAAACGTTGGGCGCACATCGGCAGCCATTCGGGGGAGTGCCTTCACCCAGAAAATGAACGAAGACATAAACACCGCTGCTCTAGAAGTTAGGACGAACCTCAGAAACATCTTGAAAGAGCCCAGATACACAGGCCACACTCAGCGCTACCCCATTTATACGGAGTCCACGCAGTCAGACATACGGACATCAGACCCCACCCACAAGGGCCTGCTCAGGAGCCCAGACTCGGCCAGGGTGGCAGCCACACTCTAGCATCCCCACACTGGCCCTGGGTGCCAGCACTCATGTGTCAACCCCGCCCAGGAGCCCAGGGAACACCACCTACACAAAATAGTGTTCTGGACACGAACAGCAAGCCACAGGCAGATAGAAAGTGGACCCGTGGTGGCCAGACTGACTGATAGTAAGTTTAGGGTTTCGAGGGGTGCCTGGTGGCTCCATCCGTCAAACCTGAGACTCTGGCTCAGGTCCATGATGTCACAGTTCTCGATTTGGAGCCCCATGCGCTCTCCTGGGCCGCTGTCCCGCTGAGAGAGGCCCTCCTGGCCCTGGGCCAGCGTTTGTTCCCGCCGTGACGTCAGAACCGGGTGTGGTGGCAGCGGCACAGAGGGTCTGTCCCTGATCGTCCCTGCGCCCCCCAGGCCTCCCATCGTGTCAGTGACCCGGAACCAGCTCCCAGGGTCCATGCAAGTGGTTCACCCGTCTTTGCCTTTCCTTAAAGGAGTGAGCTTTTAATGGAGTAAATATCTGTTAAAAAAATGCAACTTCTGGGGCGCCTGGGGGCTCAGTCAGTTAGGCCTCCGACTTCGGCTCGGCTCAGATCATGATCTCACGGTTTGTGGGTTCCAGCCCCACATCAGGCTCTGTGCTGACAGCTCAGGCCGGGAGCCTGGAGCCTGCTTGGGATTCTGTGTCTCCCTCTCTCTGCCCGTCGCCCACTTGCCCTTTCTCTATCAGAAATAAATCAACATCTGGGACTCCTGGGTGGCTGGGTCGGTTAAGTGTCCCACTGCGGCTCAGGCCATGATCTCACAGCTCCGGAGTTCGGGGTCCACACTGGGTTCTGTGCTGACAGTGCGGAGCCCGCTTGAGATTCTCTCTCCGCCCCTCACCCACCTGCACTTTTTCTCTCAAAGATAAATAAAATAATCAGGAAACAAACAAACACTAAGAAAATATGTATAGGGTTTCTTTTTGGGGTGGTGAAAATGTTCTCAAGAATGCCCATTGAACTGGACACTTCACATGCGTGACTTCTAGGACACGTGAATTACACGGTGATATTCCAACACGGGGGTTACAAGAGCCTGCCCGTGTGTTCGAACGGCTCCGAGCTCAGCAGCTGAGCGTCCCCGGTCCCGGACCGGCGCCGCCGGCTGGGGCAGGGCCGTGCGCAAGGGTACACGAGGCGGTCGGCGGTCGCAGTCCCGCCCGAGGCCGGGCGCCCCCAGGCCCCGCCAGCCCCCCGCTTACGGGCGGCGGGGAAAGCGCGTGCACGCGCCCGCGGGCCCGCCCACCGGGCAACACGTGGTCCACCCGCCCCCACCGAGGAGGAACCGCCGACCCGAGCGTGCGACAACCCGAACGAACCCCGACACGTCCCGCCGAGTCCGGGGAGCCCGCCGCGCAGGGCTGGGTGGGATGGGCGTGCCCGCAGGCCGCAGGGTCCCCCTCGGACCTCGGTGCTCAGCCACACCGCCCCGGGGTCCGCGGAAGCCACTCACCTTCGCCGCGACTCCGCCGGCCGAGGCCTGCGCGGGGGCCGCCTCCCGGGCCGGGGGCGCGGGGCCGGGCGCCGCCTGCCCCGCGGGCCTCACCGCCGCCTGGTGCACCCGGGCCCGCAGCCCCCTCACCTTCCCCATGCTCCCGCGACGCCCACAGCGGGCCGGAAGCCGCCTGCGCCCGCCGCAGCGCCGGCCGGAAGCTGGTTCCGCGCGCCCCCGGCCGGGCGGAAACCGGAGCCGGGCGGCTGCGGTCCGCCCTCTCCCCGCGGGCGCCGCCGCGCATGCGCCCGGGACAGGCGTGGGCAGCCGCGGGAATCCAGGCGGCCTCCCTGGGACCTGGGGGATGATGGGTACAGCCGGGCGGGGGGGGCTGTGTAAAGTGGCGGAACTGAGAGGGAATATGCTTGAATCTAAGGGAATCCCAACAACCCTTGATTGAGGTAGGCCATTTGTCTTAATTAACCTACTTAACTTTGATTAATTAACTAATTAGGTTAATTAACTCTAATTGAACATTTATTTCGTGTCCACTTTTTTTTACAGTTTCATTTACTCGCAGACGATGCCTTGAAACTGGAAGGACTCGACCGTTAAATGGTGAAGCGGCGCGAGACGGCGGGCTGGGAAGCTCTGGGAGCAGGACCCAGTGAGCCCTGCCCTCTGACGGGCGCACTTCGCTCCCTGGGGTCAGGGGCTCCCGCGTGTCCAACCCGAACGGTGCGCTCAGGAAAACAAACCCGGGGCGCGTGTGATTCCCATCCTCAAGGAGCCCATTGTGCTGTGGGAAACACAGACGAATCTGGAACAAACCAGGCTATGGTTTTGGCCACACGAGTCCAGACTCAGCCAGGGCGGTGGCCACACTCTATCCCCCAGACCCCGGGGAGGCCCTGGGCGCCAGCGCTCACTGCTCAACCCTGTCCGAGCCGGGGGGAAATCCACCCACACGAAATGGATTTTGAGAGGAATAGTTAGCTGTAGGCAAAGCTGGGTGCCATTTCTCAGGGAGGACACAGAGGTGCTCGCCCAGCGGGGACTGGACAGATGACACATCGGCCGCTGAAGGTCAAGGTGACGGGATCTGTGACTTACTCGAGGCCACATAACCAGCTGCAATTTGTGTCCGCTCATCTATTCCGGGCTTTACTGAGGTTACGATATTCTAGAAAAGGCAAAACTATGGCAAGTGGACACATCCTACTTGGGTTGATGGCGGGTCCGTTCAGGGTGGTCTCTGGCCGGGCTGTGCAGGAGCCAACCTATCTGGTTCCAGAATGTACCAACAGTGACTGAGGCCATTCGTAGATGAAGAAGGCACCTCAGAGACGTCAGACCAGAACACACAGCGGTGACTTCACAGCATGGATCCAGACGGAAGCCACAGAGAAATGTGTCCCTGGAAGAAAGCCCAGAAGCCCTTGTCCGGCTCGGCGTTCCCCACTCCGCAAGAGCCGTCCCATTACCTGCCCGGTGGCCGGCCTGCATGTCTGACCAGCATCTGCCAGTCCAGGCTGGTCAAAAGGAGAACCCAGCTTCCTTTGGCTAGAGCTCTTGCCCAGCCATGAGCAGCACCCATACTTCTGGATGCGGTGGGTGTCAGTCAGCTCGGCAGATGGCTTTCTGGAATGTGGAGAAGGCGGTGCCCCCCAGCCCAGTATGCACCCGCCAGCAGCACCTATGACTTCTTTCAGAAGGTGTCAGAGAGAAGCCTTGTTCTCTGGTTCTGTGCCACAGTGCAGGTCCACAGCTGTGCCGTGAGCTAACAGAATGAGACTGCGGAGGTGATTGCTGAGGTCCTGAGAAGGCAGAGAGGAGCTCATTGATAAGGGTGCATGGCACAGATGAAACTCAGCCAGCCCTGAGGCTTGCGCCCCTGGGCGCTCCCTGAGGATTGGCCCCTGGGCGCTCCGTGCAGCCCTGCGGATTGGCCCCTGGGCGCTCTGTGCGGGGAGGGAGCTCTGCGGCAGCACCTCTGTTCTAAGGGTCCAGGCAGTTATGACCTAATCATTAACCTGCTCTATCCTCTGCATCACCCGCCTCCTCTCGCCTCCTCTGAGCCGTGGCGAGGCAGGGAGGCCCAGGTTTGGCTCCCGGCCCCAGGGACACAGTCCCTTGTCTAACTCAGTGGAGATGTCCGCACGCGGCCGGCTCAAGGCCTGCTGCACAGCTTCAATTTTAGGGTTTGCTTTTTGCCTCTTCTGTGCAATGCAAGCTTTCTCAATACAGGGAAAACAACGTCCAACAAAAAGAATCCGTTGGGAGTTATTGCAAGTCCTGGGGCCCCTTCTCTCTCCATCTGTCCCATGGTCCCTCTGGATGCCCCCGTATTCGTGCTTTCCAGACCCTATCCCGCTATCCTGACGCTTCCATCTGCACCTGAAAATTTAGCGAAAATCTCAAAACGGAATTCTTGGTTCTGATCCCAATCTGTCACTGCCCCAGCAGTATATCTGCCTGCCAACGAGGGCTACCCACGCAGCTGCCCCAGCCAAGAAGCGGGGCGTCCTCTGGGCTGGCTGCCCCCTCCCTGTCGCATTCAACCCAACAGCCCCCTTATCTCTCCCCCTTATCTCAAATCCCCCACCCTGACGCGCCGCCGGGGCCGCCAGGGCTCCTGCCTCTAGCTCTGCACCCCTGTCTCCCCAAAGAGGGCCCCCCAGGCCGTGACCGCCTGGAAAAGTCTAGCCTGGCCCCCTCTCCCGGCTCCGCCCCTCCTAGCTCTCACGCCCCCTCCCTGCCTACCCCGGAGTCTGCTTTTTCTCGGACTTTTGTCACCTGAGGGCGCTCGCGGGGCGGCGGGGTTTCCGGGCGGAGCTGGGCTGGCGGCCGGGCGCACACGGGGGCCCGGGAGACTTGCCGCCCCGGGACCCGGAGCCCCTTCGGCTGCCGCCCGCGCAGAGCCGTCTCAAGACCTCGGGGCACCAGGGTCTGGGGTCCCACTCCCCCACCCTCCGCTGTCCCCCGGGCCTCGCTGAGGGACTTCCTGTTGAAGCATCAGGTGTCCCTGACCCCACGAAGCTGCGCTGAGAGCGACCGGACACGGGCACAGTCACAGTCCTGGGACGTGGACCCCAACCCTGCCCTCGCCACGTGCCCAGGGTCAGCACGTCCTTTCCTGGGGTGGTCAAGGGGGTGGCCACCAGCCTCCCAGGGGCAGGGCCCGGCCGATCTCCCCGCACACTCGCTCGCTCCAGCCCCTGCCCGGCCGAGTCTGGGTCTTTGGATGCGGAGGCCTCACTTGGGGAAGGGGGTCCCTGTTCACACACACCCAGGAGGTGGCCAGACTTTGAGTGATTTAGGCAAGGGAGGCACTGATGTGGAGAGCAACGGCTAAAGAAGAGAATTAAACTTGCTCGTAACTTACAGCCACGGCGGGTACTTGGGATGGCAGAGTGACCTTCCGCAGGGAGCTTCGATGCCGCTGTGCGTGTTCTTTGCTGGAGCCAAAACGGGCCCTGAGTCTGACATTAGCCCGACCTCCAGGACCCTGTAAAAATCCCTTGGGAACTTCCTTTATCCTTCACACACACACACACACACACACACACACACACACACACCCTCCGCCAAAGATCAGGTAGGCCACCATCCTCCAAGCACATGCCCCCCCCACCCCCATATACACGGGAGGGGTCTCCTGAGTGAGGTTTTACTAGACAGCAGTAAATGACCTTTTCCTAACAGCAGGGAGCCCCTCAAGGTCCTGAAACCTTGCTTCCAAATTCCTTAGAGACTGTCCCTTCCCTGACCCCCTACCGACCCCAGTGCAGCTCTTCCTGCCCGCGGGCCTGTCCCCGCACTTTCATAAAAACACCTTTTTTGCACCAAAGATACCTCAATTCTTCCTTGCCCATTTGCTCCTGAACCCCAACATTTTCTCTTTTTTTGTTTTATTTTTGAGAGGCAGAGAGCTTGGGCACATGAGTGGGGGAGGGGCAGAGAGAGGGGAAGGAGGGTCCGAGGCGGGCTCTGCGCTGACAGCAGGGAGCACGACGCGGGGCTCCAACTCACAAACCTTGAGATCGCGACCTGGGCCGAAGTCAGACGCTTAACCAACTGAGCCCCGCAGGCGCCCCTCAACATTTTCTCATCAGGAACTTCCGAGCCTGTTTCCCCATCTCTACCGCGGGGCTGCCAGCCTGGGCTGCTTGAGGGGACAGGCAGGGCCCCAGGAAACACCTGCTGGCGGCGCACTCCGCGGATCCCAGTGGCCCATAAAAGATACCGCCATGCGTCCTGGTTCTCAGCTCAGGCTGGGGGCTGGGGACTCTGGTGTCAGGGGGTGGGCTGGGCGGGGGCAAAATCCTGAGCCTGAGCCCAGCCCTTCCTGCCCCGGCCCGGTGCTCCATGACAGGCTGGGAGGGCGGCTTCCTTCCCCCTCCTCCATCTTCGGGACCCTTCCTAACAACAGGGACCAAGTGACCCCGGGAAGGGGACGCCCTGCTGCAGGGCGGGTGGCTGAGACGAGCCCCACTCTGCACGCAGTGGATTCCATCCACCAGCCACAGACTGGGAGACTGAGGCAGGCTCCGAGTCCCACCGTCCTCTGCCTGGCCTGGTCCTGGGAGGGCCCCTTCTCACACACCCGGAGGGCAGAGGCCGGAGGGCAGCTGCGACCAGGCGAGGGGGTCGCGTGGACACTTCTGTGCAGCTGCCCCCTCGGTCATACTGCCCAAGAGAGGTGACTGGGTCCTGGTGACCCGGCCCCAGGCAGGGGGGAACCTGACACACAGAGCTGAGAGCAGGGAGCAGGTGCGTGCTCACCTCCACCCTCCCCCTCATGACCTTTGGCTTTGGTCCAGGGACTTCTGGGGTTAACAATGGCCTGTTTGAATCTCTGCGGGGGGGGGGGGGGGGGGGGGGGGGGGAGGGGGGAGCGGGGTGCATCTGTCGTCTGAGCATCTCCATAACCAGATGAATTTCCGGGAGCCTCCTCTTTGGCTCCTGGACCCTGCGATGCAAACGAGCTGGGGCCAGTGGAGTTCCCGAATTTGGAAACTCTTTGGGCAAAAATGTGTCCGACTCACTGCATGATGTCAGGGCGAGTGGAGGAAGTGGTGAGGGAGGGGGCGGGAGGAAGAGGCCCAGGGAAGTCGTTTAGAAGGCACAGGCAAGCTCTGCTCTGCCCCATGGAGGGATGGGGTGGGAGGGGGGTGTGGCTGCCCGCCCCGGGAGGGGGGGGCATCCCAGCGCCCCAAGCCCAAACCTCCA